ATAAATTAGATTAAATGAACTCATTAAAAACTGCTAAATTAAAACCAAAGAAGGCAGAAAAAGAGAGAAAACAGCTAACAAGATGCCACCAGATAATCCAAGCACATCAGTAGTCATTGGGAATGTCTGATCTAAACCTGTAAGTTAAAAATTTTACGTAAAAAAATAAATAATGATCCAACTATATGTTATCAATAAGAAATCCACTACAAATATAACATGAATATGTTATGATAAGAGGATAGAGAAAGATACAATCAATTATTAACCAAAATAAATCTGAAGTAAATATTAATTTCAGACAAATTATACTTCAGGTCAAGAAATTTTTTCAGAGGTAGATGGGAACATTACATAATGATAAAAAGAACAAATTTTACCAAAAAGACTTAAGAATCCTAAATTTATATGCATGTGTCAACACAGCTTCAAAATACATGGGGAAATAATAGATAGAAATGAAAGGACAAATAGATGAATTTGTAACTGTAACTGGAGACATCAGCATGTCTCTCAGAAATTTATAGAACAAGTAGCCAGAAATCCAACGAAGAAATAGAGAACCCAAAAGACACTATCTATCACTTGGATCTACTTGAGAGTTCTGGAACATTCTATTTATAGTAGAATACACATTGTTTTCAAGTGCACATGGAACACATGTCTAGGTAGACTGCATCCTGGAGTACAAAATCTTAATTTAAAAACAGAAATTATGCAAAATATGTTTTTGGACTGTAACAATATTAACCAGAAGTTGGTAACAGGTAGCCAGAAAATCTCCAAGTTACTTAGAAATCAAAAAACACATCTATGTAATGCATGAGTCAAAGAGAAAGTCTCAAGGGCAATTTAAACGAGCTGCCATTTCTAACTTTCTTCTTGGCTTTAAAGAACAGTGATGGATAGCAACAGTGACACTTTGAATGGTACATCTGTGCTAGAGGAGTTTTCAGCCTCTATATACTCCCTGCTCACCTACTCAAGATGAGTCTTCCACAGTACCACTTTGGGTGGTAATAAGAATAAATGTCAGAGGGGCGCCTGGGTGGCTCAGTGGGTTAAGGCCTCTGCCTTCAGCTCAGGTCATGATCCCAGGGTCCTGGGATTGAGTCCCGCATCGGGCTCTCCTTGGCAGGGAGCCTGCTTCCTTCTCTCTCTCTCTCTGCCTGCCTCTCTGCTGACTTGTGATCTCTGTCTGTCAAATAAATAAATAAAATCTTAAAAAAAAAATAAAATAAATGTCAGATTTTGACCACTCACCTTCCTTCCCCTCTAATACTGGGAGAAACATTGCTATTATAGAGTTTAAGAGCTTAATAATTTTTAAATGTGCTTACTTTGTAGATCTGTTAGGATATAATGGTAGATACCGAATTTCTGCTACTGTCTTTTCTTATTTCTTATTTTGTGGGGTAGGATTTTACTAAGGTTATGTCATTCAGTTTCTATCGGTTCTTTTACTTGGAAAATTTTTCAAAGTATTTGCAGGTTGTTTTTTAAAAAATTCAACAATAAGTTTATAGCAATTTTAAACAAGATTTCAATTTCACCACGTCAATTAATGACTTTATGGGCCCAATTTCAAGAATCATCAATTTCAAGTGTAGCTTAGTTGGAAAGGAATTTGGTAGGAAATGAGAAGTCATATTCAGAGTTGTGCATGATGTCTAAGCCCACTATGCAATTCTTAATCCCATCACAGAAAAAAAAAGTTGAGATTATTTGCTCAGCTTCTTCCTTACAAAAAGAAGATGGATTTTCAAAAGTACTACACTAGGAGCAACATCTGATAATAACAGCAATTTCTTAATTTAGTCCATTAGATTTTCCTTTTATCATCTTACTTCTGTATTACCTTTTACATAATATTTTATCTTGCAAAGAAACTTTGAAAATGTAGCTTCTGATATAACTTTTAAGGAATATTTTGACATGTTTGATACAGGTGCCCATTTAAAAACCTGGGTCATGACTCAGAGAACTCTTCATCATTATTTTCTCTTAAAATTCCTAATATACTTCATGGTCTTATGTAATTTAAAGAGTATTTCTCATTTTGTTAATTCTTTTCTATTGTTATTTCTTCCGAATCTCTGATAGCCTTTTTTTCTTCCTATTTTCCTTTTTTCTTAGGTAACTATGAAAATATTAAGCATAAAAAGTAGTACAGAATTTTTATTTAGTAATTCAAATATACTATTTATTAATTATAAATTAAAATTAAATAGTTAGTAGGGGTGCTTGGGTGGCCAGTTGGTTAAGTGTCAGTTCAGGTCATGATCTTGGAGTCCTGGGATCAGACCCTACCTTGAGTTCTCTGCTCAGCAGGGAGTTTGCTTCTCCCTCTTACTCTCCCTTTTCCTGTCAAATAAATAAAATCTTAAAAAATAATAAAAAAGTAAGTATTCTGTTTTAGTTTAGAATGTGGAAGTATGGGTTTATTTAAGGGTTTTCATATTTCATTATAAAATATGTTTATAATTTTATAATATATAATATATAAATTATGTTACAAAGATATAACTGATATATATAGATATAGATATAATTATATAGTTAATATATATAATTATATATAAATTATATATAATATATAGTTTATAACTATATAGTTATATAGTTATAGTTTATATAAACTATATATAAACTATATATAACTATATAAACTATAACTATATAAACTATATATAACTATATATAAACTATATATATAACTATATAAACTATATAAACTATATAGTTTATAACTATATAAATATTATATAGTTAATATAAATTTTGTATTTATAGAGAGAGAATAAAAACATTAATTGTCATAACTAATGAATCAAAAGCTAACATAATCCCATTAAATAAACCAATAATGGAAAAAATATATAGAGAAAGAAAGAAAGAAGCATTTCCAATATCTTCAAAACAGAAATACTCCTGATGTAGTAGAAGCTTTCTTTGGTTGGGTATAGGATATTAGTGAAATTTTGTTGTAAATATATTCCACTAATGGTCATACTCAAATGACTTAAACAGATTAAACAAGGGAATATTCATTGTGGGGACCTCTGTAGGCTGTTGGGAACTGGCTGTCTGTTATCCTTACATTTGTTTGTGTTTCATGTTATTTTAAAATAGTTTCAGATTTACAGTATGTATACAGATATTTTAGATATCATAATACAGCTGTCACTTGGGCAGCATATCACTTTCTTAGGAAGTTCCCATATACTGCGTCATGACAATCCTTTCAAGCAGATGTCATTGCTATTTAACAGATGAAAAAAAAAAAGTGAGGATTTCCCAACTAGCAAGTGTGTCAGGTCTAGACTTATATCTTCATCTACCGTTTTGATAAAAAATGAACAAAACCTTTTAAAAATTTTAAAGAGAAGGGAAAAATGTTTTATTTGGGCCCAAGTTAGGACAGTTGCCTGGGATACTCTGTCTTTACAAAGAAGGAAGTGATTCAGGGAAGAAACATTTGGTGCAGGGTTATCTATGTTTTTTATGTACAAATCATCATGACAAAGGACATTCTAGAAAGTTAAAGACTTTATCTTGTGTTTTTAGTATGTGCAAGCTGCATGAGTTTAATCTTAGGAGAAGCAGAGAGGTGTGTTGTCCCCCCTACCCCCATATCTTTACGTTTAGAATGCTCCTTTTTGGTTGGTTAGTTTATTTAATTTAATTAATAAATTTATTGGAAGCAGATGTATAATGTATGCTCAAGGCAGAAATAGCCATGATTTGAGGTTTTTTGGAGCCATTTTGACCTTGGTAAATGTTATAGTAATAGCTTCTCTGGGAGCCTACAAACAGGACCTATGAAGATTAAAAGTTGAGAATTTCCTTTCTCAACTCAGTTCCATAGCATTTACCCTTTACTGTATCAACAAAACGTAATACCCATTATATTCTTAAGGAGTAGAGTAATACGTTCAAAAGAAGATTAGTTCAGCATTTATACACTGGAATTTCAGCACTGGTTTTGTAGCGAACAACCTTTGTGACGTTAGGCATGTAAGTGAACCTCTCTGGGCTTAAATTTCTGTATCTTTGGTAGAAAGGAATTGAAGTAGCTAAACCATAAATCTCCACCAAGCTCTAAAATTTCATGATTATTTTAGATTCATTCTTCCTGTGTTTATAAGCACCAGGCATTTGCTAAAGCCATTTTAAAGAATGAGAACAGAAACATCAAACTATTGTAAATTGTCAAATTGTATGTCATTGTAAGCAAATTTGTAGAGCCCTGAAGTTTAAGTTTCATTTAGCTTCACTGTAAATCTGCCTTTAGTGACATCACTCCATATGGCTTTGCTGACATGTTTTGCTGTTGGGGTGGGAAAGAGGAAATAGTGAAATATTTAATGATATTACACAGAAATTCCCCTGACCCCTTACCTGTCTGAGGTGCTGAGAGGTAGAGAAGTGATCCATTTCTATTAGTGACAGAAAAAATGAATTTCTTGCTCCTTGGAACAATTTAACTAGAGTGGTAAGACACAAGTTGCATTATTTGTAAAGCCAAAGAGATGAAATATTAAGCACTTACTTTGATTTCGAAATTAAGCAGTCAACACTGTGTTCAATATACTGGAGAAAGCAAGGATTCCCAAAAGCTACTGCAAAAAAAAAAAAATCTAAAGACTAGGATATGAACAATTTGGTAATCAGATATGAATATAATTAGTGACAGGCCACTTGACAAATGTATTTAACAGTTTGAAAGTTTGAGGATAACATTTACATGTAATTCTAAAAATAAATGTGTTAAATGTGGAGAAATCAAGATTAGGTCCCAGGCTACTCCGCCTTTGACTCATAAACCACAATGAATTTGATCTCACAAAAATTTTATCTCACAAAATCCCACTGGATGAAAACAGAAACTAGCCTATTTTGTTGCAATCTAAAATACTCTGTAGACTAAAATAAGTCATAGTTTTGGATGATTTCACATCTGCCTCATGTAACACTTACTTTTGTTTTTGTTTTTTAAGGAGGATACAGCTTTCAAGCAACAATGAGGATATTTACTACTATGACATCTCTTCAAGATAGAGTTCCAAACCCTTCAAGACCTGAGAAGATGGTACTGATTATTTCCCACATGTTTGTCAAGGTCATTGAGGGAAAAAAATAGTGTAAGAAGTTAATATTGCAGGAAAGACTTCACATCAAAAATGAAATAATATTTGAGACTGAAAAAGATATTTTATCCCCATAGCTCTGCCAAACTCAGTGTCTACACAAATTATTATCTCTCTTTTAAGTGTCAGTAAGTTATAGTTATGTAAGTTACAGTTCTCTAAGGGCAGCTTTAACTGCTTTCTGTTACCTAGAAATTTCCTCTGTTTTACTTCTCTTAGTTAAAATGAGTTCCATTTTTACAATGCCATTTCCTTTTATGTCAGAATTGTGTGTCATGGTATAGAGTTTCCAATTGAATATACCTATTCTCTTTCTCGCTACAAAATATACATACCAAATGAATATCTTAAGTATAACTTGCTAAAATAAAGGATATCACATTTCAGTTGCTTGTGGATACTGATAGTCTTTGTACTAAAATCTTAGTATGTATCCTCACTTTAAGAATTGTCAGTTTGCTGAATACAAGAAAAGTTCACTTACTCATGGAGGAGATAATGTTAACAACTAATAACTCATAGATTAACACTACAGTAAGCTTTTATTCCTAGAATAAAAGATAAATATATTATGACTTCTCTACTCTTATTTATAATTTCATTATCAGCTATGTGGAAACTGTCTAAACATTATTTTATATATAAATTCAGCCCATTAAATATGGTAAAATTACTGATATTGTTGAAATTATACTATCAACTGAACTCAATTCTCTGTTCTTTCTTTATAGTTGTGCTTAGAAGTAACTTTCTAGAATCCACATTTCCACTATGTGTTCTAAAATTACTGAAGAACTAAAATTATATACCTCAGTATTTGTTTAGAACATGGGTGTTATATGGATAATATGTCTGATAAAAAATATTAGATCTTTACCTGTAAGTGTTTAATGGTTGGAGTTTGGGAAATATGGTGGCACTGGTGATCTTTCTGAATCCTTATGAGACCAACTAAATAGGGAATATAAAATCTCTTGTACAACATATTAAAAAACTAAATGAAAGTGCCTTTGCATACTCCAAGATGAAAGCATGTGGCCAACCATGGGAGAGGAATAGGAATGGAGAGCCTTCAGAGCATGATTTAAGTTTAACAACTGTTAAGAGAAGAACTGGGTAGGAAGTTGTGTCAGTCTACACCCCAGTTCTGATAAAAATTTGACCTGGTCAGTGAGCTGCCCATTTGTCAGTCCTAAAGTGGGCAGAAATCAAATGGATCTAGTAGTCCATATCAGGCTCTATATCTGGCTGTGAGCAGATTTGAAGGAGCAGGGCCTTGGAGCCAAGAGAAACATGCCTTGGTCTGAATGTGGTAGTACTAGTCGGGTGATAGCTGAAGGATGAAAGTTATGCTTCCCATGAAAGTCTGCTTCCCATTAAAGTCTGCCAAGGAGATCTGAGCAGAGCACATTTAATGGCCGTGGCAGTCTACCCATTACGACTCATACATACACTTTTCTAATCTCTTGCATAGTTTTCTGGGGCCTCTCTTTCTGAGGAAGGTTACTGGAATGAACCATAGTTCCTTTTTTCCACTATTATACTGGAATTCCTACCCAGTAGTGGCCCCCGTTACAACCTTTTAAACACATAGACCTCCTTCAGATTCTGGAGCTTAATTTCTCCTCTTCTTAGTTAGAAGACTGACACTGGATATTAAGTAGCCATCTTGTGACTATCAGGTAAAAAGTGATAAGAATGTAGAGAATATGTATGGAAAAAATGAGGCTATTGTAAAAATTAAGTATATCTGATGAAGCTAAACAGATTTTCCAATGTGTGTGATTCCAGAAATCATAACCTTAAGATAAAAATATAATTAATGGAAAACTAAAAGTTCAAACTAGACAGATGAAGTACAAATCAAATTCAAGCATATACTCAAAAGTACATTCAAATTCTTCAAAGAAATTATAGGATAGAATACACAGAATTTGAATGATAGAGGATAAAAAATGGTCTATTAGGCTTCTAATAATGATTTCATAAACTTATAAAGAATATACCATTTAACAAGACAATACCAATAATTTTTCAGAACATAAAATATGTTATCTAACTAAGTAACAACAAAACCATTTTGATCTCAAGCAGAGATCAAAAGCTAATTAACACTAAGACACAGAATCAAAATGACTTAGCAAGTATAAAGGTGTTGGTACTAAATTAGTTTTGATGATAAGATTACCTATGAAGGAGTAACATACTCATCACAGACAGAAACAATGTGTTACTGAAATAAAATGTTCAAGTGCTGAGGGGAAATTACTATGAATATAATTTTATTCCAGCTACATAATCATTAAGTAATGTAAGTGAAGTAAAAACAGTTTTAGATACAATGAATGCTGGATAATTTGCCATCCATCTACCTCCAATGAAAGTGCTACTCATGGGTATAACTCAGCAAGCAGGAAAAGGAGACCCAAACACAGAGAAGGGGGTATAAGAAGGAGAGAAAATGGTAAAACCCATGGATAAGTATACATATACATATACACATACACACATATACATATACACATAAACATGTACATACATATACACATGCACATATACACATACATATACATATGCACACACGTGTGTGACTACTCTGTATATATTGACAATAACTGGGTGATTAAAAATATAAAAATAAAAATTTAAAAACATTTTGGAAGATGAGAAGAGTAACCACATTACCTTAAGTCTTTATAAATCCCTTTTTTCTAGCACTACAGAAAAATGAATGTCTGTTTTAAGTGATGACTAAAATAATCTTAAATCTATCTCACATTGACATAAGTAAAAAAAAAAAAATGAATAGAATACAGAATGTATAATTTGAAATAAGTGTCCTTGATCTTAGCATATGGACATTTTGGACCAGGTAGTTCTCTGTTGCGTGGGTTGCACCATGCATTGTGGATATTTAGCAGCACCCCAGACTTACCCAGCTGATGCTAGTAGCAATCCTCAGCCCATTGTGACTGCTGTGACAACCAAAAAATAGCCTTACTTGAGAACCACTGATCTAAAATAAGGAAAAAAGGAGAAAAAGATAATCAACAGAAAATACAGAATACATGAGAAGAATAATTTCACATATACTAGTAATCATTATGTAAAGTTTTAAAAATCACTTATTTAAACAGACTCTTGTATTTTAAAAATCACAGCAATACAGTATTTCAAAAGTCTTCTCTAAATCATGATTCAGAAGGGTAGAAAATCAAGGGAAGGGCCAAGCAAAATTCCAGACAATTCTATAAAAGAAAGGCAATATAATAATATTATCAGAATTTAAACAGAATGGTATACAAATAAAGGACAGTATCTAAACTATAATCATTCATCAAGATATAAAAAGCATATATTGCTACATACCTTTTACTATAGACTAGAAGTTATAATGCATGAATTGTTAGAATTCAAAAAAAGTATACTTGACAGATGTCAAAGTATATTTTGACAAAATGAATTCATTTGAGCTCTGTCCAAGGGAAAATGAATGAATCAAAATGAATGAATCAGCCAGTAGAAAAATAATTACTAAGAATGCTGATTAAACCATAGTTCATATACCAAATATATATTAATATTCTACATATATATATTTTATATAACATGAAATATAAAACATGTTTATGTCTATATATAATCAACATAGATGCATTTATATGCTGACACATAGGGGTAGACAGATCTCAACATGTTAGTAGTAACCCCACAACCACCACCAAACATAATACTTTCGCAAGTTTTTTTTTATGTTTTAGCACATAAAAAAACAAATTCATGAGAAATAGTAATAAGGATGAATAAAAAGTACCAAAAAAATAGTAGTTATCATCATATAAATCTTCTTTTAAAACAATATAATTCAATTAAAAATCATTAATTTTTAAAAAAGTCCCTCCTCCATCCTGTTACGTTTTGGGAACTTAAAATAAACACTTACAAAAAACACTTATAAAAAGTTCTTCCAGGTAAAATGCAATCACAACAGAAATGACAAAATAATTGGAAATACACAAAAATGGATGTTAGAGTATGTTTCTTCCTCTAAACCCTGTAATCCTATCTTCAGGGTTGGGGAAGAGGCCCACATATTGATATAACATCCAGCTTCCCCACCATTCGGACCATCAAAAGCTAACAAAAGAAAGCACACTAACTCAAAGCTAGAGTGGCTTTTCTCCAAGGGGAGCAAGAGAAACCCTCCCACCAGGACAATGGGGAGTAAGCCCACATCTCCCATAAATTTCTAGTCCTTTTAGTATAGGCCTAAGCACTAAGACCAAGACCTTATTTTCCCTTGGATAGAGCTTTAGCTACCCAGTGAAGTAGAGAAAGCTCCAGAAACTCACTGGGTCATAACCCATATTACTGAAAACTTTGCTACCACTATCTGCAAAGAAGCCATTGCGACTAACTGTATTATGTCTTTTTTATCTCAGTTACCAAAAAACTTCTTAAACTGCCAGGTCATCTTTCCATTTCTTCACCTTAATCCAATAGCCAACAATCTCTATTGTTTTTCCTTGGAGTCTTCTGTCAACTCCTTAAAATTTATGACTCTACTCCTTGAAATTCAATGTTATGCATAAGAGTTACATGTAACATTTTCTATACTGTCAACATATTGCCTGAATGGTCCCTTCATTCATTGTGTTAAATTGCAATCCAGCTCTCACCTGGGTGTACTAATTAGTACCTGAGTTCCATCATGGTGTCTCCCAATGGTGGCTTTATTTTTCTCACTAGTGGCTTTATTTTTCTGATTCCTTATATCAATCATTTTTATGGAAATGAACCAGGTATTCTTTTATTTCTAACGTCACATTTAGAATATATGGCCACCTTTTTGTAGCCTGTTCAAACGTAATCCCCAATAATTCTCATCTCTTGGTAATCACATTTCTATGTAGTCCTATCCCACACTGAGGGAAGTGAGAGAGGGTGACTTTCAGAATAGGTCATAAAAGGCATTGAAGCCTTTGCCTTTTTTCTATGGAATCACTTGTTCTGAATCTGGCTGTCATGTCCTAAGGACACTCCACCAGCCCTATAAAGAAGTCCACATTTTGAGGGAGATTTTCTTCCACCTATCAGCATCAACTTGCCAAACATATGAGTGAACAACTTTAGAAGTAAATCTTCCAGGCTCAGTAAAGAGACTCTGATGACCCCAGTCAAGGCTGACATAAAAGTTGCACTATCATAAGAGAGATTTCCAAGACAGAAGCCTGAAGCAATGCTACTCTTAAATACCTGACCAACAGGAACTCTGAAACAATAAATATTTGCAGTGTTTTTTATGGTCCTTAATTTTAGTTAATTGGTTACACAACAAAATGTAATTAATATTATCTTCCCCCCCCCCCCCCCAAAATCTCCAGCCTGAATCTCAGGTCAACAAGCTATATTAACCACCATATCTCATTACTGTCATCATCTGCCGAGTCCTGGGACATCATCCTTCATTTTCTAATGATTTTAGCTAATGTCTCACTGTTACTCTTTCACAGGCCACTCCAGCAGGAATGTCTCCAAGTTTCCATATATAGAGAGATAATCCTTCCTTTCATTCTTTGTTCATACTTTTATTTTCTAATTTAGTGGAAAGAAATAGTATCTTACTGTTTTGGTTGTAATTTTTTAACC